AGTAGATATACCCATATCTACTATAATCATCGGTAAAAGTCACATAGAAGCGGTTCGCATCCTTTATGGTGAATCTAAAGGGCCCACATACATCGATATGTATGAGATCCAGTAAACCCCCACCCTTTTCACAAGTACCAGTGAAGGGTGACTTGGTCATCTTTCCAAGTAAACAAGACTCGCACGTTTCATCGTCCCTAAGGTCGAATGACTCTAACACTCCATTCTTTTGGAGTTGGTCTATGTGTTTCTTGTAGACATGTCCAAGACGACATTGCCACAATCATGCTTTATCCAAACTATTGGAAGAATCGATACACACCACATCATTTCCTAAGTTGTCAAAAACCATCAAAGTTTCATATATTCCTTTATAAGGCAATGCTTCAAAATAGAAAATATAATTTAAAAAAGCATTAATAGAACCACTTTCATCATTAAACGAAAATCTAAAACCTTGTTTATACAAACCATGAGAACAAATAATGTTTCGTGTCATTTATGACGAATAGCAACAGTTATCCAAATCTAAACCTAACCCACTACTAAGCACTAAAGAGTAAACTCTAATCTTGGTGACAGGCGATGCTTTCCTATTCCCCGTGATGAAGTTTCTCTTACCATGCTCCACATCCCTACTTGTTCTTAGACCCTGCAAATCAGAACAAATGTGAAAACCACATCCTGTATTAAGGAACCAAGACATAGCATGTGATGAGTTATCAGAATAAATAGTATAAATACCTATGAAGGAGGGCTTTATCTTCCCATCCTTGATGTCCTGTAGTTACTTCGGGCAACTTTTTTTTCCAATGCCCTTTATTGTGGCAATAGAAGTAATCTGCATCCTTCAGGTTGGAAGAAGGAGCAGTAGGACCAGCTTTGGTTCCACTAGAAGAGGTACCATCATGGGACTTTCGCTTGTGGTGGATCTTAGAAGGAGCCTTCCTCTTTTTTCCTTTTCCTTGCCCAATAGATAAGACGGGGGAAACGGTGGGAGTAGATGCAAGAGATTTGCCTTTCAGACTACTCTCAACATGGCTTGAAGCTTTCTTAGAGTGACCTACTCCTTGTTCATGTGGTAGGTCATGTGAAACTGGTCGTAGTAAAGAGGTCAGGAGTATAGAATGATATCTATGGCCAGCTCCTCATCGAAGTTGACATTCAACTTCAGCAAGCGGTCCACATACCTTTGCATTTTATGCAAGTGGGTCGTGATGGACTCTCCATCCTTCATTTTGGTAGTGATCATCGCAGCAATGATCTCGTACCTCTCCTGCCTAGCACTTTGATGGTACCTTTCCATCAAATCTTGGTGCATCACGAATGGGTAATAGTCCTCGTAGGACTTTCAGAGTTCATCAGTCATTGTTGTGAGAATGATGCAATGAACCTTTGTAGCATCTCGCTCATGAGTGTCGTACTCAACAATTTCTTCGCGAGTAGCAATGTTGGTATCAATCTCCTTAAGATCCTTATAGAGAACATACTCTTTGTCCTCGTATCAGGTGACCATGCGTATGTTGCGGATCCAATCGTTGAAGTTGGACCCTTCAAATATCACCCTCCCACACAAGTTCATGAGTGAGAATGAGTCGGAAGGGGTTGAGCTAGAAGCGTTGTTTGGAGTAGACATCTGAAAAAGAAAAGAGACAAATTTTAGATTAGATACGAATCCCTAATTTAACACCCAAATGAAAAATTAGGGCTACGATCCAACACAATTATTTACAGTTCAGAAGAGTGATATCGTAATCTAATTTCAAATAATTTGAAGGTAGGTAAATGACGATTTACCAATTTCCACCATGAAAAACAAAAAAGACAATTAAGTTTAAAATAAATCAAAATTCCTAGATTCTTTTAAGATTCATTAAACTTTTCAATTGCATGTTTAAATCTCGATATGCCCTTCAAGTTTGTGACTGGGATACGGAGGATCACAAACAAGGTGTGAATAACCATGCAAATGTACTTGATACTCTCGATGTCATTTACCACCTAATCAATGTGCCGGTTAACTACACACGCTCCATTGATCTATGATAAACATTAAGCTACCCTTTGCCACCTTTGCTAGTCCCAAATTAGTGTGTCGGTTAACCACGCACACTCCACTAACGACTTGGCAAGGTGCAAAGTGTAATTTCATGGAATAACATCATTTTCACATTTTCCTAAAGTAACTAAGATTGGGAATTTATAAAAAAAACATTTAGTTACTTTATAGGTCATTATACTTATCAATGAGGAATTAGTTGCTCTATCCTACCCGTTCGGCTAACGACCCTCCACCAATCAAGGAAGTGGTGAGTGAGAGTGGACACCCATTCAACCACCTTTTTATAGGTAATTTCCTTATACCCCCTTATAGATCGGCTTTGTGAATGAGGCCTACTAATGGTAAGACTAGCCTATATTATACATATATATATATATATATATATATATATATATATATAATTAATCTTATAATATTATAATGGTATAAGGGTTAAATTTTAAACTTGTAAATTTCTAGCGTTTAGAATTTAAATATTTTAAAATTAAAACTTTTAATTGAAAATTTAAATCCAAAAACTTGAGGGAAGTTTTGAAACTTTTCAAAACATCTTTCAGATCAAATTTGAAAAATAATTAAGTAATCATATTATTAATCTTTATCACATAAATTGACCTAATCTATTTTCTTGACAAGATAATTCAAATCAAAATACAAATAATTAATCGTTATCAAATAAAACAAGTAATTATCTTATTTATGACAATTATCTTTCAATTGCATTAGGATAATTAATATCATCTTGAAAAAAATCGAATTTTATCAGTCAAAAATGTTTTTGGTAATTATCCCAATTCAATTTCAGTTAAAATCCAAAAAAATCAGCCAACTGGCGACTCGACTTGTCGAGTCATTGACTGGACTCGTCGAGTTCATCAGGTGAATCGATGAGTTCATCATGCAGAGTCACAATTTTTCGACTTTTCAGCTTTGAACAAATTAGCAATGCATCAAATACAATAGAAAAACGACCTAGGCTCTGATACCACTGTTGGGTTATTAGCAAAACATCAATCATATGGCGCACATGAAAACCCTAAAGCTTTGGATCTAGGTTTTTCTAATTGTACATGCTATAATCACCCAAGCTTATAAACCCTATTACTAGCATACAAAAATCGAAATCAACATCTAATAAACAAGTTAGAATGTTACCTTTGATTGTAGCTTGATAACCTTGAGCTTTTGAGAACCTAGCACCTCAAATGTGATGCCTCTAATTGAACACTAACACCAAAGCAATTGGAGAATCTTAGATAGAGAGGGAGGAGGCCATTTCGGCTCTTAGGAATTCTTCTAGGGTTGTGGTAGCCGAAAATTGGATGCCTAAGGGTTCTATATATAGGTGAGGGATAAGGGTTTCAGTCAAATACCTAATATGGTTGCTTAAGCCCTAAGCAGCCCAGATGAACATTCCAGAACCCTAGCCTTGGACGAATTCTTATGGGTTATCCATAAGATTTCATCTACCCCTATCTTTAGGGATCCTCAGCCCATTTTGCAACTATCTCATAATTACAACTTCAGTCCCCTTAATTCAATTAACCTCTTTTGACCACAAAATTAATTCTAAATTAATTCTTGACCAATGTTAATTAAATAATATGATTTCTCTTTTAATATATTATTCATATAATATATTAATAAACCATAATAATCTCTTTCTCCATTATTCATCTAGTTAAGTTGCTTCGGTGAAGGCAACCCAAAAGGATCATGCTACAACCGGGTCAAGTACATACCAAATATAGTTATGACTTAGACACCTAATCCAACAGTTAGGAGCCAAGATCTACATGTTAGATGTTAGGACTTAATGTATTAAGTCAAAAGAAAGAACTTAGGGTGGATGGCAGTAATGTTCGGCGTACCCCCTTGTACGCTGCGCGTATCGGGTCAACTTCCCACCTCTGGTGAAAGTCGGAGTACGTCGGACGTCCCTGTTAAGTACGTTGCATGTATTGTTTGATAATTATTAAGGCTGGCCCAATAGTATTGATATAGCTTAATAATTGTCTTTGTGATAATTATTAAGGTGCTATGTATTGTTTGGTGTTTATGTAAGATATGCATCATTTTATATGGTAGTGGTAGGGATGAAATAGAACCATAATCGGTTGGAATAAGATCGAAGTCTAGGTCGGGCACCCATATATGTCTGATAAGGGTAGGTTGGGCACCCAGATATGCTTGGCAGGGTAGGTTGAGCACCCAGATATGCTCATTAGGGTAGGTTGGGCACCCGTATATGCCTGACAGTATGTTATCTAGTATGTGGTATGGTGGGGGAAAGTCACTAAACTTTATGCTTACCTGTTCAGTTTGTGTTTCAGGTAGCTCCAGCTCGGAGGGGAAAGGGTTGGTTTGAACGCATCTCATCACACCATGATTTCTGCATTTGAGATTTTGGGACTTATACTCTGATGATGACTTTTTATGTGCTGTCTTGATTGTACAACTAAAACTATTTCATGTCCTAATGGTTTTGAAAACATTAATGTTCTTATTATGTTTTGGTAAATTAAAAATAAAAATTGTGGATCATAATTTTGGGATGTTACAGTCATGTCGTGGATGAGTGCTCTTGGAGTAGTCGGTTTGGCCTTGAACCTGCGTGCCTATGACTTCGTTTCTCAAGAAATTCGTGCGGCGGAAGATCCTGAATTTGAAACTTTCTACACCAAAAATATTCTCTTAAACGAAGGTATTCATGTTTGGATGGTGGCTCAATATCAGCCTCATGAAAACCGAATATTCCCTGAGGAGGTTCAACCCTATGGAAACGCTCTTTAATGGAACTTTAGCTTTAGCTGGCCGTGACCATGAAACCACCAGTTTCGCTTGATGGGCCGGGAATGCCCGACTTATCAATTTATCTGGTAAACTACTAGGGGATCATGTAGCCCATGTCGGATTAATCGTATTCTGGGCTGGAGCA